TTTTTCACAGTCAGCGCTGTCCGATTGCATAACAGATTGTTGGAGCTCCCGCCAAGGTATTATTACACTCATACTATTGTATCCCAAATGAGGACAGGGGTGTGTGTATGTGTGTATGCGTCTTAGTAAGAGGGAAACTTGCTTACAGAGGTTTTCTCATATTGCGCGCCGGCCGTTTTCTAATTAGCATTCGAATCCTGACTTTGCTTTGACCCTTTACTGTACTGATGCGCAGCGTTTGTTTCTATCTTCTCCAGAGTATAATTCTGACAGCAGGCCGCAAAAGGAGTAGTGTGATGATAAACTGCTGAGTGTAATTTAAAAAAAGCACCATCTGAGGATTTTTCTCCGCAAGCTTTTGTTTTTCTAAACAGATGTTGCTGCACTCTCCGACTGTCAGGTAACTCTGCAGTGATTCCCTTTGAAAAGCTTCTCTTCTTCATTCGTTTTATCCAAAATGAAAACAGTCTGCGACCTGAAATGAAATTAAAATTTATTCGAAAACCACATTAATTCAATTCCTAATCTAAATCTTGGAGATTTCCCTGCCAATAAGTAAGCAGGGTGGGTCCCCCTGCTTGCAAAGCTGATAAGCCTTAATGAATTTCAAACATTTGGGTTTTAGTGCAGAGTTTCAGTGTCCCATAATGGTCTGAGTGCAGTTTCCAAAGTTTATCCTCTCTTAACAAGATGAATCTGGGGTAATGCTGAGTTTGTGAAATTGCTGGCATGGCAATGAGCCACACACATCATCCGCCTCTCCAGTGTTGGGGGGTAATTGATAGCAAAGATGGCAGAGTTGTTGGTGAAGATTCTGTGAAGCCTGCTGTTTATTGGAATCAGCCATCGCTACAGGCAGCTAACAAATATTCTGCTAGACTTGTGCTGTTCATTATAGGAGACAAACTCCTAACACAGTGTGAAACATATCTCCTCCAGTTAGGGCTGACCAGAAGCTGCTGTGACAATGGCAGAGTCCCCACAAATGTTCATGGACAACATTTCAAACCTTTTCATGACTTTTCAAGGACCCATAATAAAGTTTTCACTTCGGAAAAGCATCTGCTTGACAGTCAGTACGTTTACATGGACAGTTTAATTCCACTTTTAATCGGAATGAAAGGCCATTCCAATTAAAAGTGGTCATGTAAACGGTCATTCCGATTGAAAAACGGTCATTCCGATTGAAAATTAAATCCAATTAACGGGGGTGGTTTATTCCGTTCGTCATTCCGAATGAAAGAATTTTGTGTGCATGTATACACTCATTCCTCTTTAAGTTCATTCCGGTCTTTCTGCGCATGCTCGTTTCCTTGCCCTTCTGGCGCGATGACGTATATAGCGCGCATAGCAACGGGCTGCATAGCAACGGGCTGCATAGCAACGGGCTGAGATAGAGCAGTCGGACTTGTTGCACTCACAGGTTTCCATTCGCCACAGCACGGTCTTCTATCTCCCTTCTTTGACCTTCTACCTCCCTTCTCCTCCTCAACAGATGAAGCATTAGCAGAACAAGGTTGTTGTCGTACTGCTGCAATCCAATCAGAAACGTTCCCTGCCCCAAACCTTGCACAGACCTGAATAAAGGCGATTGAACTGATCTCCCGTGTAAACCCTCATTCGGAATGAATATTTCCTATGTAAACTACCTGCAAAGACTTTAATTCCGAATGATTTCATTCAGATTTATTTCATTCCGAATGAGAAGCCATCATGTAACCGTAGCCAGTGTCTGCTGCACTTGCCAGCCTGGTTATGGTACTGGAGGAGAGTCTCACCTCCCATACAAAACGTAGCCTCACTACGTCACATATACACATAACGTCTAAAAGCAGAAACCTTGGCTGGTATGAGTCATGGATAATGAGAAATGTGCAAGTTTTCCATTAGTGTAAAGCATCAAGTAAGTTGTTTGAGTTGATCTGCCTTACTTGACATTGCACATACTTTGATGCAACTATCGCGCATCGCAGTGTTAATGCTAAAACAATATATCATGTTACGCTGACGCATATCAGAGCTACGTTATGTCAACTGCTAACTTACAGAAAATAAATTTTCCATTATGTTACTGTAGGAGCCGGGATGTGTATTTCACCTTTGTTGTTTATTATTTGTTTTGGCTGCACATATTCTTTTGGTCACTTTCATGTCTGGTAGTTGTAATTGGCACGTTATTTCACCTGCTCATTCACTGGCGTGGCGGCTTAAAGACAAAGAGGGTGAGTTTTTGTTTCCGATATTTTCTGTTGACCATAATCACATCACGTAATATTTGATTTCATCTCATTTTTCTTTAGTTATATCAGTTGTTTTTTTAATAAATCACCATAAAACGCATCTTTGGACTTCAGCATGGACGGAATTTAACGAGTCACAGCTACAAACCTACTCAGCCTCTTTGCAGCTTTTTACATTGATAGTAGTAGCTACAGTTACATTACGTGGAGGGGTATCTCCAGAAAATTACTGTGACAGTTAAAAACAAAAAAAAATTCATAAGTTTTCCAAAGCTTTAAATGATTTTTGCTAGTTCTACAGCTTTTCCAGGCCTGGAAAATGAGATTGTGAAATTCCATGGCTTTTCCAGGTTTTCCATGTACAGAGGAACCCTGTAATTGACATCAAAATCAGTACTTAGGCTAAACGTTTTTGTATGTGGTTTTTTGTATTATGAAATGACATGAATTACCCAAAAATCGTGAATGGCCCCTAAGTTAAGAATCAGTTATCGAGCATTATTAATTATGCATCAACATTAATTACTTTTAGCTATACTGAGAATGTCTCAGTTTTGCGAATTCAACTAGCTCTTATCTAATGTCAGTCACCAGCAGTCCAGCACTACTGAAACTGGGGCAGTATGACCACATGCAGACTTACTGATACGCTAGTAAGATGTTGAAAACATCAAATGTCTGGAATAGTTTTAAAATTTGTGAATATGACCCCCAAAAGTCAAGTGTCTCAGACTTGCCAAAGGAAACTGGTACATCACAAATCTAAAACAATGCGCGACCTGTATGTTAACAAAGCGACTGTTGCGTTATTTTTGGTGCATCAACTGATGTCCTTGTCTCTCATTTTACCCCCCACCCTCAAGACGATTTGATGTCCAAAAACTGGCTACTGACTATGTTTTGAACAAAATATTCTGCTACTCTGAATTGACCTGATAAGATAATCAACATTTCTTGGCAGCACAGTAAAGATCCTTTGACAATGGTTAAAGGCAGGGTTGTCGAAGGCAGAGGTGTGATCACATTACCCTGTTTAAGGTTTGACTAGTCATGTTTCCACATCACTTATTTCCCAAAAAGTGAGAAAAGGCATCGATTCAGGGAAAGGAATAACCAAACATTGCGGCTGTGGTTCACGCAAATTATCATAAAGCTATCTTTGAATGGATATCGTCAATGAGCAACATGGGGCAACATGTTCTTTCATCAGGGTGAACATGGGCACTGTAGTACATTTTCAGTCAATCCCTCCGCCATCCTACTGCTGTAAACACTCACTATAGCATCAACTGTGTATTAATCCGCAGCAGAAAATAGTACCCAAGAAGAGCAAAACCAGTGCCTGCCAGTCTTAGGAAATATTGAGCATGTTTGACAATGTTATAATGTCAATAAGTAATGTCTGTAATACACTGATTAAAAAACATTGTTATGGGGTGTCGGTAGCAAAGTGGTGCTCGCACCCCATGTACAGTGGTGATGCCTCGCTGCAGCGGTCGCAGGTTCGTCTCCGGCTTGCGACCATTTCTGCATGTCACCCCCCGCTCTCTCTCTCTCACCCCCCTTCACTCTGTCCTATACAATAAAGGCAAAGAAGCCAAAAAATAATCTTTAAAAAAAAAAAAACACTGTTATGCAATTAGTCTTTTTAACCTTCAACTTGAACCTTTTCACCTTTTTGGCATCATCAGTGGGTTAGGGTTGGGTGGGAGGGGGCTGTGGGGAAAAATGCCACAATATGGAGGGACCATCATTTCCATTTGCATTGCAATTGTATGATTACATACCACTAATGTTCCTTCCAATAAAATACGACTGGGAAAAAAACCAGCTTTGAAGTCACCAAAATGAAAATATTCTTATGTGGAAAAAAAATCTAATACAAAAATATTGTCTCAAAACAAAGAATATGGAAAAACAAAGTCAGTCACAGAGTACTATATTATCTGCACACTCTGCATAGTAGGAAACCCAACAGGCTCTGGCCCACTTGAGATGTGTAATTACTGTGGGGGGGATAGCAGGCCTTGGGAAAAGGCCAAGGATAAAATGTACAAGGCCATGGAGAAAACGCTCTGCTGCTAACCATCACTCTCTGTCAGGATAACCCGGCTCATGTAAAGAAGTCAAATAATGTAGACCAACAATCCAAAGCAGAACCAGATCACAGAACTAAACCACAATCATAACTTGTCCTACTTTTGAGCAGAAACTGTTCTCCAGAGAGCGAATGACATAACATGAGTTTGGAAGAGGGCTGTAAAACTTAAGTTACACTGAGTAAGCGCTCCTCAGTTCCCTTCATCATTTCGGAGGCCTTTGATACGGATGATGTAACAGCCCAGATATCCAGATCTTTAGTATTCTGACCCACAGGGGAGCCAGAACACAGGTGTGCTCCTTGACGCCTGCATTATGTTAGGCTGCTTTCCAAACAAGAGCTCAAACATTCATGTTTGGCTGGAGTCTCTAAACACTGCAATTTCACAGATTTCCCCCTCAAAGGCAGTTCAGGGTGTGTCAGGGTTGAGAGGGTTTGATTTAGTGATCCTCGATATACAGAACTCCACTCATTCAGTCGCTTATTCATTCAGAGAGTCTGATTCATGTCGCAAGATATTCTGAGAATGCAAACACACATGTATAATGAACTTTGACACATTAGGAACAGGATCAGTGATATCTAATGGATATCAGCTACTTCCTTTCAGATTTACACAAACAAACGCACAGCTTGAGCGTGTGAGACGAATCAGATACCTTTCGTCCAGCTTGTCCATGCAGTCCAGGGGGGCCCATAACACCAGGCTCTCCCTACAAGACAAATCAGGTCACATTCAACACAGCAACACAATTTGCATGAGTGTCTGCTAATAATCAAGCAGTTCTATGAAAGGAAAGATGATCATATGCGTACTTTTGGTCCTTTTGGGGCTTGACCAGGTGACAGTCCATAATCTCCTTTTTGTCCCTAGAACATAAAAACAAACAGAATTTTCTTTTTCATGCTTTCAGACACACTTTTCCTCCCAAGGGTACGAGATGTAGCCTCCTCTGCACCAATGTTCACTGCATACTTTCTGCATTGCCACAGCATTCCAGCTCGCAAGGCGCAGAGGAGTTCGCTGTGTGCATTTACCCTATCAAAGAGTAATGAGTTCATCCTACTTATTGGTGAGTGTAGCGGTTGTATTTACACAAACGTGCAGTCCATTTATGCCCTCCAGCGACTCAGTTTACACCAAGCCAGCGAGAAGTGATGGGGAGTGATCGTGTACATTCTTCTGCCTTTTCGGGCAGTGGGAATCCTGTCAGTGCTTTCTGGGTCAGCATGCAACGTCCAATCTCACTGGTGAAAGTGCGGCCCAGATATCTACGCAATTATAATGTAAGAGGCCCGTGGAGAAATAGATAACTTCCTGTGTTAGTGCTTATCATTTAAAGAAACAAGTATATAGAGGGAAATCTTGCAGCGCTGAGGTGGTTGGACTGTAATCAAACAACAGCTGTTATCGCCTGATTGCAATTTTGATTGAGCAAATTAAAGTTCAGGCATGGAGGGAAATTCCACGTTGAAAGTCACTTTGTGCAATCCTGAAGCTGAGACGTCTATTTTAAGGAGTAATATGCCCATTTTTAATCCAGACCTCTTAGTGCAAAAGGCAAGAGTTCAGTCAAAGTGGAAAGACGAACTGCTTCAAAGGAGTATGTTTTTATTTCACTGGGTTTCTAGAGAAAACTACAACAGGAGTTCTCATCTACCGTATATCGGCCCATTTGAACCTACATGTACGTGACAGCTACAACTTGGCATCGAGGAGTCTTTGTGGGAATTTTTCTGCAGACTGATTTCCAAACAGAGCCAGGAGTGCGACTCCAGCCAAGAGCCACATACGTACCCTGAACACTGTGTCTTTTCACTGTCTGAGGGTTTTTCACCTCAGCTCCATCATCTGAAGAGTTTAAACTCAAAGAGGAGCTAAATGAGGTAATTTCTTCTGAAAGCTTAAGACCCTAATAAGCACTTGCACCTTCCACTGGTTGTCCACATATTTTTATTCATTTCATTTTTAAGTCTGCTGCTAGATGTCTTGCAGCAGCGTTTAATTATCATCAGTGCCTCTCAATTCATCATTATCACGTCCAGATAAAGTGACATATTCAAACAAAATTCAGCTCAAACACTGTGTTTTCAGCTTTTTAATATTTTAAAAGAAACGAAATGTGGCAGGCCAGGCTGTCTGCTGTGTGAGGTTTGTGTGCAAGTAGGTCAAACTGAGCTGGGCCAGGTTTGGTTAGACTCCAGTAACACATATGTACAGTATAGGAGTTATGGTTTTCCCCTGGTTAAGGAGGCCAAAGCATGGTATCAATTATGTTGTTTTTAATGTTAAAAGACAGTGTGGAAAATGCTGAAATTCAATGCACTGGAACGAATTGGGTGCAGGCTTGACATACAAGCTGTTTTCTGTTTTTATTCCGGTGCAGTTTAATATACAGACTCCCTTTGTGATATCAGACTGACATATTATGGAGCTAAACCTCTCTGTTGACAATTCAGATCAGCGCGAAACACAGACGGATGTCAAGTACTTGCAAATTAGTGAGTGCGGAAGACTTAAAACTGCTGTTCTCTCCTGAGGGGAAACAAATGGCTTTTTGAGAGGCTGGAAGAGTTGCACTGTGAAGCCAAGAGGATCTGACCTCAGACATGCAAACTGAGTGAAATTACAAACAAACACTGGATGACCACGAGTAACCACAAGAAATACTTGCTCTTCATATTCACATTGTTGCTTAAATGCCCTTGTTACATCAGTTAGATATGGATCGTAAAAGAGCATTAAGGCTGTATGTACCATAAAATTTTATTGTGTTTTATTTACATTATCATCCTTGCATCCCCAAGAGGACAACCAATGTGTAGCCCTAGATCCCCTTCAAGGATCCAGCTGTGTGTTGACACGGAAAACAATATAATTTGAGAGAAACATCGACCACTTAATGGATAGTAATTAACTTAAAGGCCCACTCAGTCAATTTCCTGACCATATTAGGTTACGGAAATCATGATTATATGTAATTTTAAGGTTTATTCTAAATATAAGAAAGCATTTTTTTTATTGTCAGCTCATCCGAAGTGAAAATAAAGACCTTTTCCCAGCTGTGGTCTTGAAGTAAACAAACCTCTTAATGTCCTCAGAAAAGGCTGCTGTTATCCTGTATTTTTCTTGCTCAACAAATCCCATGAAAAGACCAAAACAAACAGTGAGTTAGTCCGTGTGTCAATACTTCAAATTTTCCTACTTTCCCTGTGGCATTCAGCCCTGAGTCCATTTGTTCCTACTGAAGTCATGAGGCGTTTAAGACAGGTCACAAATACAGAGTCATCAAAACAGCTGGAAGCAGTAGTTTTTTTAAATTGTGTAATTTGATGGCGACTATTTTCACATGGATTAACACATACTTTGTGTATGATTTACTTCACCAGGACGGTGGATTTGGAATTGGCTTAAAGTGAGCCCATTATGCTTTTTCCTTATTTTCTCTCATATATGTAATGTTAAAGAGCCAGAAGTTCATTTTTAATGTGGCCAAAGTTTCAGAATAATGAGGTAAATGTATGTAAAAGTAATTCCTGTGAGCGATGACCTCAGGCTTCAGACCATGTTGAGCCCTCTGTTTAACCCTATGGGCCCTAGGCATTTTTGGGTTATTTTTACTGCCTTTACTTTTAAGCTCATATCACAGTCATTATAAAGGCTACATACACATGCTATATCTTTTCAGGACAATCTGGGCTAACCAGATTTGCCATCATTCCATATCCTTCTATGTGCCTGTATTTTATATTAATTTTTATATCTCTGAAAAAAACAAATCTGTGTTACTAAATTCTTACATTTTTACATGTATCTCACCATAGCAAGTTGGAAGAAGACATATTCTGCCATATATGAAGAGGGGAGACTCTCTGGAATCTGGCAATATAAGAACCATGATGCTGGGACATTCTGTCACTTACAGCTGTCCAAAACATGTGGTTTGTGCCAGGCAGATATGATTGCCAGTATTTTTTCATTATTGCAAGAAATTCCATTGACTCATTCACAAATCAAAAATGTGTTTTATCTGAAAGAAAACATTGGACTACCGACAAGTGCTTGATCTTGTCGGAAAGCTATGATTCCGCTGTTTCATGTGATATGCGTGGCTTCTCGCTATGACGCACGGTTGCGGAGAAAATGCACAGAGAAGAACAAGGTCTGAATTTGGATGCACTATGCGTCATTCAGGCCCATAGGGTTAAGCAGGGATAGGGTTTCTGGGGCAACCTACCTCTACGGTGCATGTAGAAGGGAGATAAATCAAAGGAATCGAAACTCCAGTGACACTTGTAGTATTTAGAACAACTTAATTTTACTACCAGCATGTTTTGGCTTGTGGCTCTCATCATGGAATACTGTGTCCAACATTTTTTCAACTTTGGCTACAAAATGATGTCAAGTCGAGTGTGTACATTAAACAGCCTACACCGCTACATGAAGCTACATGCTAACATTAGGGAAACATGTTAACGTAATTGCAAATGTTGTAAATTTCTCCCCAGTTTTGGTCCATATTCCTGCTGGAGCACATCAAGTTGTGTTTAGCTTTTAGTGATTTTTTTTACAGTAGGAAGTGCAGCTATTCTAGTCATTCCCCAGCTGGAAGTGCACTGCAGCATACTAACATTAGTCGACCAGAAAGGTCATTAGTCGGCAAGATTTCATTGGTCACATGGTTGCGGTGGGGGGGGGGGGACTGAAACTCTATTAGGAGTTGCACCTTGTCAAAATATATCAAAACCGTTTTTGAGGACCACATGGGAATTTCATTTGAAAGGACAGACACAGGAAGTGGCCACGCTCAGCAGCCAGGCAGGAGTCATCTTACAAACCAATCAAAGCCAACAGATATCTTTCCCTTCTTCTGTAAATATTCAGTCTGATAAATACGGAAAAGTTGATCATGTTAGTGCAGGGCTACCCAGAGCTTTACATCTGTCCCATGGACGATAGGCCTACACACTTATAAACAGCTCCTGGAAGAAGATCAGCTCTACACACGGCATGTGTACGGCCCCTAATTTCCAGGGCTGGTACCTGCGGTTATTCCACAGGCTAGTTAATAACATGTCGGGCAGGAAATCCAAAGTGTGGGATCATTTTGAGAAGGTGAAGGACGAACCCAAGGTGATATGTAAACTCATCTTCATTGGTCGACTACAAACATGACGTATCATCTGAAACATGGAAGTAGCTACATGCCCATTAGCCCACAGCGTCATTAACAGGCGGCTCGCTCAGTGTGTGACGTGCACTTGTAGATAAAATATAGGCCTATATTAATGAAGGTTCATTAGTACGGTTTTGTATTTCTCTGTAATGTAGCACAGTGTTAACAATGTTACTGATACTATTCTTTCTCACACCTTCAACTCAAACCATTGTGTTGCCCCGCCCAAAATATATAGTAGTTGACTAATGGCCCTAAACGATGACTATGTATCATTTCGGGGCCATTAGTCATTGTTGATGGCAAAATTTTAAAAATGATTACAGTCTGGATCCTTGTATTCCTATGATTATTACAAGATGAGCTTTATTTTCTCTTCCTAAATACAGATAGTTGGCATTTGACATGAAACTGTTGGTTTGTTAAAGTCATACCTTCACTCCAGGAGGTCCGGGCCGACCAGGGTTTCCATGTGGGCCAGGAGGACCCTGAAAACAGAGACACACATGATTGAGGAAGACACTGAGTGAAGGTGATTATTGGGGTCATTGAACAGGCCTCCATTTCAGCAGCAAAAGGGGGTGAGCTAGTGCCATGAGTGAGGTCTTCACAGATGTATGCGCGTATTGTTCCCTTTTCACCGCCTGTCTGTGTTATAGGACAGGTCAGCTGTGTCCCGAAGTCCCTCAGTGTTTGTGTATAGGTGCTCTGTGAGATGTACTGTGTCTCCCTGCCTGCCTCGCCTGTCTGCCTGCCCGTCCAAGTTATGACATATGGATGTGATTTTCCTCATCCCTACACTTTTCCACTGGTTTCTGGGGTCCCACAAAGTGAAGGCCACTCATCCATCAGACCATATTCCCCGATGGCTTTGTGCCACAAACTGTAGGTATCTGTGATATATACCATGCTTAGATGTAATTCATTGAGCTATCTGTGCCAAACGCTTTATCAAAACGGACTATCTCCTGCAAGTCGGGCCAGGTGGGTGGACGTACAGGAGCAGAGAATGAGAAGACAAAATCTATTTTTTTCTGGTTGAAGGGACGATAAATTCAAGCGAGCTGTAGAGAGGGATTGTTTGGAAAAATAAAGCCACAACTTCCTGAGGCATCCAAGTGAGGAGCCTTCAGTTCAACTGCGCACTTGAGTGGAGAGGGGTCGAAATGCTGAGCATGGAAAATCTTCCCCAGCAAAACTGAAAGCACTGAAACATGTTCAGATGGCCCAAACAGGAAGCTACTGTATCTTCAGCCCATTCTTTGAGTTGTTCAGACTTTCCATGGGTTGTGAAGGGGGACCTTTTCCCCCGAGCTGGAGGTGAAAGTGAGGGGTAGGATTACTCTGAGTCAAACAGATGGAGGAGGCCAAGAGGTGTAAGTGTACGGTCGGGTGATTCAGCCCGTCTCTGTTATTTATCTGTGCTAAATTATCAAGCTGTGGAGAGGAGTCGAACAGCCCGGGTAGCTCCCCTCCCCTCAAACTGGCCAGACCTCTCCCCTCGCAGGCGCTCGGTGCTGGACATATGGAGACACTTAACAGAAGCTCATCTACAGATTTCCTCCTCCTCCTCTATTCAGAGCATTCCCCTTTTCACTCGCTCGATATTAAAACGTATGGAAGTCATTATCTCCAGATAGGAAGCAAAGGGAGGAGGAGACGTAGAAAAAAAGGGAGGTCGGGACAGAATATTACAAATTGCATTCTCGCAGTACATAAGGTGAGGAGGCATGGCGCTGATGACAAGGTGGGCGGGTGCTAATCCCGATGGAGACGAGCATAATGGAAAGAGTGAGTCACTTTGTCCGTCTATCTTTGTGTGGGTGAAAACAGGAATGAAGATCCTCTTTGCTTAATTACTAAAAAAAAAAAAATAAATAAAAAAAAAAAAGCTCCTGACAGGAAACCATTTAGAGACCACCTGCAAATAAACACAAACACATGAGCGCAAATGTGTTAACCTAGATCAGCGCACACACATGTACACACACTCACACCTGAGGCCTGCAGATGAAGGGCACCTGTATACCAGAGCTGTGACCAGCTTTACGATGTGGGCCGATGACTTTTACAGGAGCGACACGTGGAGTGCTACTGTTTTTATAGGCTATTAACCCCGAACAGACCACTAACACCTTCGCTGGACTGCACATAAGGAAACATTATGTCTTTAGCCTGATGATTATTCAATATAATGTATATTAAAAGGATCCTAACTCTGACTTTGGCAAGATGCTCGGTGCTAACCAAGTGCTAATTGCTTCCCTAAGATCAGAAACTCTCTTGTGTGGCCAGAAGTGCAACTGGAGTTGAAACTAACCAATGTTTTCTTTAATCCACCGTTCATTTTCAGTATTAAACTGACAAAACATTTCAGTACAAAGTGCATCTGCCCTTTCCTAGGTTTTCTGTTGATGAATCGCAGTCATGTTTTTAAGGTGGAGTGTTCTATTTTATGCACCTATCTAAAACAAACGACTGTTTCTGCAGCTGGAAATGTAAAATGCATCATCTGCTTTGCACCAGAGGTGACGTGTGGTAGGTAGATGTACCACATACCGACAGCAGCAAATGTAAATATTTTCATCAACTGCATATTGGTTGAGTGACTGCTGTGTTACGGCGCATTAAAGGGATAGTTCAGATCTTTTGATTTGGTGTTGTATGAGGTACTTATCCATAGTCAGTAGATGTCAGTCAGCGCGACCCCAGTTTGAAGAAGCAGGCAGGAGTAGAGTACAGAAGCTAAGCAATGAACTGCTGTGAATGGAGGCAGCATGTTGTGTTAAAAAAGCCCCACCTAAAATAATAAACATCAGTTTAAGTGTATACTATATTTAAAATATTTTCATAGCCTTACCTTACTGTCTGTCAATGATTTCGGACAGGTAACTGAAGCTGCTATGTCTCCATAAATAACATCACTGAACACAGAAGCTTCTGGTCTACCGCTAGAGTAGTTTTAATGGTACGATAACCATCTCAGAAAATTACACAAATATTATTTTTACTATTATCATCAGTAACAATGACCCTCAAATAAATGAAAACGGAAAGGTTATTTTTGGTTGAACAAATGCTTTCTTCTTCTTTTGAATAGAAGTATGTTTAAAAAGTCTGACAGGCAATTGCACGCAGGTGAGAGTGTCCGTCCAGTTGGATGGGTTTTTTGAATACCGCAGATAAGCAAATGGACACGGTATGCTAACCATCAACCACGGTAAACCTTGAAACCAGTTTATCACTGCAACCCTATCAACCGCTGCCCCAATCAGCTAGTTCGCCTTATATTGTGATTTTGGTGTTTAAGAGGGTTAGTTCAAATTCAGTCTCAGAACCTACCAGCTATTGTCTGACAACAATAAATCCTCTGGAGACGAGGGCCAATAATAGGGCTGATTTGGTGTAGCAAGCGGATATTTGGGACAAGACTTCCTCTTCCGTGCCCCTGTCATTATTGATAAAGCTACATCATCATCAGACTATCGATCAATCAATTTTATTTATGAAGCCCAATATCACGAATAACAATTTGCCTCACAGGGCTTTACAGCATACGACATCCCTCTGTCCTTTGGACCCTCGCAGCGGATAAGAAAAAATCCTTTAATGGGAAAAATTGGTAGAAACCTCAGGAGGAGCAACTGAGGAGGGATCCCTCTTCCAGGACGGACAGACGTACAATAGATGTAAGGCAATAGGGCCCGAGATTGCAACATTCCCCCCTCTCCACATGGACTATTTACTTTATAGCCCCTTTTACACTGCCAGATTTTCCACGAATGTTGGGCCGTTTTGCCGGCAAGCTGCAAGCGTTTAGACACACAGAGCTGGAATGGTGAGTTGATCCAAGGTGCCCAATTTTCCGCCTCGTAGGGTAGCCTAGTCATATTGGCGGAACCCTTTTAGTTTAAACAGACCGAGGCGGCCTTCCGCAATGGGAGGGGCTGTTGAAGACTTGTGGGAGGAGCTGTTGATGACGCTGCACGTGCGAGCCACTGGCGGTGGATAAACAGGAAACAGCTGATAGCAGGAATTAGCAAGCAGCTAGTAGCAAGAGGGAAACACAAACCTGACAGACACTGTAAAGATGAGCAACTGAGGAGACAAGGAATTGCACGCCCTCCTTACCCTGGCAAACGAAGAGACAATTAACTGTCAGATGACGGGGATGGTGAAGAACGGGCCGTGTTCAGCAAGCAAAATTTTTGTGAATGGAATCTGGTGGCTTTGAAGAGAGGTGTAGGGAACTGCAGCTGTTGGAAATCCATATCTGATAGCAAGGTAAAGCATTGAAATATTTTATAATGTATTTATTTTATAGTGTACATTTAAACTCATATTAATTTTTGTGGCTAAAATACGTTTTGCTGCTGCCACAATCAGCAGAAGGCTACATCGCTTTGCTTCAATGGTCATGCAACAAACATCTACTGTATGTAATCCACTGACTATGGATGAGTACCTCATACAACCCCACTTTAAAAGATCCAAACCACCCCTGTAACATATAGGTAATGCATAGTAAACTGTTTAGATTAAAGGTGTACGAAGCCATGGAGATACATATGCTCACAGTTTTACTGTCAATGAGCAACTCAGCGATCATGAACAAACTGTCTGCTGGCATCTCCCGTGAAGCTCCTGCAACTTCAACTCTCTAAATGTGCTTCGTATTAGCTTCAGCACAAGATATAGTGGAAACCGTCAGTGTGGCCGATAATGACAGAGAAGAACTTAATCAAGCCTCTGAGAGACTGCTAATTTGTGCCTACACATGTAATTCATTTCAGAAGAATCTAAATTTTACAAGATACATAAATCAGCTGAGTTTTCTGCACCAATCAACCTCTGGCAGAAACAGAGCTTCCATTGCTGGAGTCTCCACAGACTCCTTATTTCTTTTTATAATAGTGTCAACCATTCTTTAAGCAATTATGCAAATGTTTTCAATTTCACAGAAGCCCGGTGTCCCGTACTGACTGCACACTGGCAGGTCAGTTTCTCTGCACAAAGCCCCCTTTGATCCACTCTCAAGCCTCTCCTTCAGGCCCGGGTGAACTCCAGCGCTCTGCTGGGCTTATGGCTGTGTCGAGGAACGTGGACGCTGTCACGTGTAAAGGATGCTGCTCGCTGGTAGCAACGGTGAGACTGTCTGCTCAGTCAGAGATGACACCTTACTGTCAGGAGGGTGAAGCCCTAATGGTGCTGTGTCACTGCTTTAAACTCAAAATAAAGGCAGCCAACTTGTTATACTGTCCTTTCTTTTCAACTAAAATGCAATTCATCTCTTTACAAATTTCCATTTAAAATCTCATTCTAAAAAGTTTAAGCTTTATAATTGGGATTTGGTGCTTTTCAGTGCGAGTCCAACCATCAACCATTAGCAGCTGCACCACCAAGGATTCAAATCTTCTTTCCAGTGAATTTCTTTCCAACTAAAACAGGATTCTGCTCCATCTCCTTGTACAATCTTCAGCAGTCCTTCCAGTGAATTTCGTTTTAACTGAAACATGACTCATGATAAGTCTCTATGAAGTTTCTACATCATTTCCCTGAAAAAGGGACACAGATTGGGACAAACAATGTTGTAAATTTATGCTTTATAACTTCACAAACACTGTATCACATGCATTGCAATTTTTTCTTAAATACATCTATCAACAATTAGCAGTACTAATAAGAATTAATAGTTACTTTTAGCCTTCTTTCCAGTAAATATCTTTCAAACAAAAGTTGATTTACTCTAAGTTTACTCTAAGTTTCAATGGCCCTCATAGATCAATCTCTCTCACAAACCAGCACAGATCCAAGCGTAGAAATCATCTCCCGATAGGGTTCGCATGTGATTCATGAAACGTTCTTATCGTGCCCATCAAAGCATAGGAATATTCCAGTGTTAATAAATGTGATGGCTGAAAACAGTCAGTGTTTAAAAATATAGAAAGGTTCCAGATAGAGCCGGCAACCAGTGGTGTTCAGCCTCGGTCAATCTGTCAGTCCCACAGAGACAGGCACCTGCCAGCTGTGACAGAGGGCACACGTCCATATGGCGACTAGACAATTTTAGGTTGATTAATGTGTGGCTGCAAATACGTAGATGTCAGTCAGAGTACGGTCTAAAAACAATTCTCCACCTCAGCCAGATTTACAATGCTGCACCACAAATACACGCCGACGTGAGTTTGATTGTAGCCTTCGCTCACGTCCACACTGATAAATGTTGAGCATTGCTGCGGAAATGTGGAAATTATCGCGCGTGTCGTACATTCGTTTCATAAATGAGGGCCAATGTGTCTTCCTTGAAAAATGGACACAAGTTGTACAACATTGTTCTGTTATACTGCAGCTGGACTTAACTCAAAGGAAAACCCATCCATTTTCATCTGCTTATCCAGGGCCAGGTTGCGGGGGCAGCAGGCCAAGCAAAGCACCCCAGACATCCCTCTCCCCAGCAACGCTTTCCAGCTCCTCCTGGGGGGGGGCCACAGGCCAGATGAGATATGTAATCCCTCCAGCGTCCAAACTCATTTTGGTCGCTTGTATCCGTGATCGCTAGTAAAGGAATACCTCACATTGGAGTAGTGTGTAAGATTAAATGGCCTCCAGCAGTGAGGTTGCAGAACTTAAATTTCTCCCATGTGCCATGCTTGGTGGACGAAGCAAAAACGTGAACGGCCCTATCTAGAATTGTCTGTTCTGGGCTACTGTAGAAGCAACATGGTGAACTCGGTAGAAGTGAACCAACTCTGTATGTACGGTAGATATAAAGACTGAACCTTTAAAGCAATTTTTTAAAGACAACTATCAGGGAAACAAGCATGAAACAAAGCACGACAACAGCAGTTTGAACAGGGGAGTTACTGTTCATCATCTTTGTGCATATAGATGTTTGGTATGTTTAGAATATAAAACCCTCTGCTATAGTGAATGTTGCTTTTATTCCTACTGTTTGTACAAGCAATGGCCAGACCAGAGTCCACTTTAGAGCTTTCTGTAGATCATGTGTGTAGCTGTGAGGTATTTCTTGCTAATCACGTGAACTATCCAGGAAAATTCTGATGGCTCAGGAAAACAATCAGTAAAAACCTGAACTACACCCGTCCTTTTTTTTTTTTTTTTTTTGCTCTGAGTCGGTGTGGCCTGCAGTTTGGTCTCAAGAGCTTGATGATGAATGAACTCTATAGAGGTTGGTGTGCTACTGCATAGAGCTGCTGAGCTCCAGACAGGGTCTTAAATGCCTTTAATAAGATGGGGACAAAGCCCTCTTTCTTCCTTGTTTAAAGAGATTGGGTTCCCACAGTCCACCCCTCTGAGGCCTGACTGCAGGGCACAGTCTCACGGGCTGCGGCAGGTAGCTCGTACGCACACTCCTCAGAAGCACAAGTACTCTGCAGGAGGTGTTCAGCAGGAGCTCTGCAAAAAGAGCAACCAAAACTGGTATCTCTCAATGTTTTTTCAAGTTCTAGCATATTTATTTCAGCTTAGGACTTACTGTGATGCCAAGTTCAACTTCTGCTTCACTCATTTTCATATCAGGGCAGTTGAAAGGGCAGCAGCTACACACACAGCCATCAGTTAAAGGTCTTAGACAGAAATTAAAATAACAAACTCTCCCTTGGGACAAATCATCTCCTCTCTTCTTATATTTCTTCTGAAAACATGAGCCTGAAACAACATCTGCTCTCACTCTGTTTGGCTCAGGAGCATCACAGGCTGACATTGAGCCCCGAAATGAAAGATATGGCACCAGAGGACTCTAATACACTAGAAGCATTCACCAATGTTAACATAGGAGCTATGCCTAATTCAAGTACTGGTACTGCTTGTGTACGGGATAGAAAGTACTTGTTCTGTAAATATGTACACTCACAAACGTTACCTTATTTTTCATGTCCATCTAATACCTACCATGTGTGTTCAATTAATTTTACATTGGCAACTCACAGATTTGTAGCGTATGGTTGTTTGCTCTCCAGCTTTACAAATGGACCTTGGCAGCAGAGAAGCACAGCTTGATCAAACCCAGAGCCAAAGCAAACTAACGTCTGGCTGAATAATGCTCCGTAATCCAAAGATGTCACCGAGTGCTTGATCAAACTGCTCAAAGGTCTTCCATATCAGTGCACTGCTAACAATGTAATCTCGCTACAATGCAGATCAGACGTGATTATGGCATCATTAAGATAAAGTGGACGACATGTGGAAGATTTTGGACGAGGAGTGAAAAGTGGTAATGGAAAGAAAGAGGAACTGTGGGTGAATGGGGAAACTTGTCGCTGGTTGGGAGAAACTCACCCTTGGACCTCTCTTCCCTGGCTTTCCTGGCAAACCTGGAAGTCCTTCAGGGCCCTAAAAGAAAAGATAAAATATGTCAACAACAGGGTTTCTAAGAGACACTTCCTTTTGCCGTGTTATTTCTAGAGTCTCGAACAGTCTTAAATAGTAAAAGAGACACATAAAAGTCACTTGAAGTCAGATATTGAATCAGTAAATACATCTTGTGCTTTTTTTTGCCTGATTCTGCATTACATTAGCTGAGAGCTCAAAAGCACTCAGTGAGTGAGATGCTGGCAGGCACTTGAATGTCTTGTTAGAGGCGAGAGCAGCCCTGTCCCGTTTGCAGCCAATATAATTTGAGCCCAAATCCACTACAGTGCACAGGCTGTAAGTGTGACTCATTGCAGTGGCAGGCAGGTCGGCACTGGTTCCAGCCACAGCCAATCACATTAATTATGGGCATCAGCTAGCTTTAAAACAATTTCATACATGGATTAGCAAAGCTCTGAAAGGTCAAATCTAATGAGGGGTCAATCCAAACTACCTGAGTTTGCTTGAGATGTTGGGATTGTTATTTATTTTCCCATGGCTTCAGAAGGTTAAGGAAAGAGGAGAAAGGAAATGGGCCTAAAAACAGCTCGAGGCACTCTTGCTGAAATTGAGCTACTGTAATAATGTCAGATGTATAGAGCACTTTTGTCTGACTTGGACAGGACCAACAGCTATAATTATACTCCTTCAGCCAGCATACACTCTGGAAAGCCAAAAGGATTTCAGCAACCTTTAGATTCTTTAGACTGCAACCATCAGTCTGTCCACACATGATAAGCTGTTTGAGCTTCAGCCCCTGCTGGGATGGGCGGAAAGGCAGCGCCAGAGCTCACATCTTTATAGAAACTACAAACAATAACTATTCTTGATTTGAAACTGTGCGTTTGAGTCATAACTTCAGGTTATTTTGTCACAAGTAACGATTACAAACAAGATTAAAGATCAATATTATCTGAGCTCTGGTGTAAAATATGGATGCACAATTTTCAGGGTAGCCCTTCTGCGAGGTTCAGACCGTCGCTTTCTCCAGAGGCAAAGGATGCAACAATCTATGCCTGGGCGGTGTCTATTTTTTCACATCTTCAAACCTTCCAGCCCTTCACCAGGGTAGATGGTATATGATGGTTCTGGTATAAAAAGCAGACAAACAAACATAAATGCTGAGCTGGTGGTGATAGAAGTCATCGTAGCATGTTTGTCATAGTCTTGACTACAATGCTGTGTTTCCAATATGCATCTGGCATACTTAGGTAAGTCTTGCTGGGTCTGAATAATTATGGCTCATAGAATAATCTAAAGATAGGAAATAGGCACCCATTACTTGCTGGAGGACTTGATAACACTTGTCGATGGTGGATACCTAAATATCAATGGGATGAACAGAGACGATGTGTTGACTAAAATCATATAACTAATAAACTGTTTTATAGTTGGAAGAGGTCATTTCAAGTTAAAGTTATATGTGTCAATACTCCCAAATAGCTGCAGAAGAATTTTTCTTTTATTGCTAGTCCTGTAACGTTATCCCCACCACCTACAGTCACCATCTTTCTCAGCTCAGCTTCCTGTTCTACCAGTAGAGTGACCTCTAGTGGTGTTAGCTGTACATTACATCACCTCAATACAGCATCTCTGTATCAGTTTAACAGAAAGAGAAGCAGTTGTATTTTTGACGGTATTGAAACCCACACCTTTGGGATTTCTAAATACCCTGGTACACTGTAATACCTTGATACTACCCAAGCCTACAACAATCCAAATTTTCCACTCACTAAACCAACTGCAACCCAGAGCCTCAGTGTATGTGCCGATACAGAGTACCAAACTAATACTAGTGATCTATTTTAGCCAAATTAACAACATGAATACCTCATTGTTTGCAGCACTGGAATTATCTACTGATGTACATCCACACAGAAGGAAGCGACCATCTACTGCTAGCTCACCTAGCAACACTGATCAAGCTAGTTTAATAGCTCAGCTAAAGACGACATCATTAATATTTCCATCTTGCGCTGTCACTAGCATGAGCCTCTCATCCATGAGTAGATGCACACTTCCTTCTTCAGGGGTAGTTCAGTAAAATTCGAATAGTTCCTACATAAAACTGCTCACAACATGGTCTGTGGATTATCTTGAGTAAGCGGGTCATGATCTCTGGAAAGAGACATAAAGTCCCTTTAACTCAAACACTCAGCTTTATGACATTTTCACAGAAACCATATGTGGATTGGTCACATTTGGCTGATTCCAGATCTGGTTAATTGGTTCACTGTCAGCCAAGACAACGATCCAGTGCATCAAGCCTGTAAATCTGTGCAGTTCTGCTGCTGATCTTGTGTTGACAGCCTACTAAAACCCCAAAAGGTTTTTTTGGACAAATCTCTCCATTAGACTGAGGACCTTACTTGATTATCTAACCATCAATTTTTATCCTCCCCTCTTCAGAGCTAAGGCCTGTTGACGAATTCATCAGCACTTACGTTATTTACCAGAACTGCTGCAGTAGACTCACATATACATTCAAAGACATTCCTGCCCTTATGATCAGTTGAAATGTATGCCTTCTTAAACAGTCCATGACCCACTAATGTCAGTCCTAATCCCAGTGGAGAGGGTTCAAACACTCAACTAGAGGGGCACTTGGAGAGCGCAGCCCTTTGCCAAATCCAGTAGTCTTCTTTGACATGCAATCTGCAAATGTAACCACTATGTCTGAAGATATTTCCAAATGTTTAAGAAGGAATGCTCTATCACAACTGCTTTCTGCATTAACTTTGTTCAAACTATACATGTGTGCTCCCCCAAAGGATTACTGGTACCAGTAAATGTGGATTGTGATATTGAATCATCGCATTTCTACAACTAGCTATGTTTTGTCACTACTGAACTTCTACTGAATTTTAAGATGTATGGCATGCACTGTATTGCGCCAAAGCCACATGCCCTATCTCGCAACGTTAACAGAAAAGAAAAAGTAATAGGTGTATCTGCACCGTGATTCAGTTTTTCTTCAAAACTGAATGGGTTCTTCGTCGACCCACGCTACAACCTTCCAATGATTTTCATCAAAATCGGGCCACTAGTTTTACCGAAATCCTGCTGAGAAACAAACCGAACCGAAGCTATAACCTCCTTGGCAGGGGTAACAATGGGTTTCCAGTCATCACTAAAATGACTCAGAGGACAATGTTACAAAATAGAATATTTAAACCTGAGTCAGCACTCAATTCAGTTGTTACACTAAAACGTTAACAACCAATCCAGTAGTGAAAGTTCTCAAGAAGGTAGTCTTTACCATACACCAGGGACTGACGGGCATCAGTTACAGTACTTCTCTCTCATAAAAACTGGCTTCGGGTGCATGCAGAGCTGCGGTTTCTCTCGCTGCCAAAGCAGCTAAGCTTTACTTAAGACATTCTTTTTGGTCAAACATGACCCAATACAAGACAGAGGAGTCTTTTTTACAATGGAAAATGTGGGTAACCATACTGTGTTCAACAGAGGATCAGTGCCTGACAGGACCACATGGTCGATATGAATGTATACAATCTACAGTCAACACTGCTTGATGACTGACAAGATGAAATACTTTGTCTGTGTTCATCACTGATGCTCTGAACTTAGTAAGGTCAGTCTGACTCTGCAGTCTTAAAGGATCAGTGTGTAGGATTAAGAGAGATATATATTGGCAGAAATGGAATCTAGTAAATATGTTTTATTTAGTGTATAATCACCTGAAAATAAGAGTTATTGTGTATTTACTACCTTAGAATGAGCCATTTCTATCTACATAAGGAGCGGGCCCTTGTCTATGGAGATTGCACCGCCGTGTTTCTACAGTAGACCAGGTGGGACAAAGCAAACACTGGCTCTAGATAGTCATTTGCTTTATGCATCAGCTCCTGCATGACAACCTGCATTGGAAAAACACCATTTTTTTAATGTGAAACTGCTTTATTCAGTGTTTTTACTGGTTTAAATCACCGGGTCCGTTTATTTTGAGAGGAAGAGACCTCTGTGGATAATTTGGCTTCTGTTAAAAACCTCTTGAATGTTTTGATCTTAAGTGCTCAGAGAGAAAAAGTGAGCAATCATTCACAGGTGCTGGGAGAGCTGCCTGTCTCCGACGTGCCAAATAGCATCAGAGAAACACTGATTGGTAACATGAAACTGCTTCATTCAGTGTTTTTACTGGTTTTAATCACCTGGGGTCTCATTTATAAAAGTTGCGTACGCACAAAACAAGGCCTGAGTTGTGAGCTATAAAAACAGACTTGATGGGAGAAACTTTGACCCATACATATGAACATTTTGGAGAGAGGAAGTTGGTGATGCAGATAGAGATGTAGAAGCCTGATTGTAGAAATTGTCAATTATTTTTATAAATGAGACCCCTGGTCCATTTGTTTTGGAGAGGAGGAGAACTCTGCGGACAATTTAGCTCAGGGTAAAAAACTCCTGACTGATAAACACTGGAGGAACTCTGATCGGGTTGAAATTTGCAGTCCTCACCACTAGATGCCACTATATCTCCCTAAAAACTTACACACTGTTCCTTTAAGATAATCCTGTGAAAAGGATTGTTTTAATTTCTCTTCATTAGTAACTTTTCAGTTCTAACATTGTTACACTGAAGCTTATAGCGTGATGTGAGCAACAGCAGTAGGTCTTGTGTTCTTAGACATGCAAAACCTCAGACCTACCATCAAAACAACGTGTCTTGAAATTTAATACTCCATGTCATAGGTCTTTAACTTTTAATATATATAAATATATATGAACATTGTGGAGTCAGTATTTGAAAGAAAACAGAAGAGAATTTTTCATTTCCTACAATTTCTGCACCGACTCTCCTACCAAGAGAGTCTGTGGTGCATAAAATGGAAAAAAAATACAACAGCCTTGAATAATGGGGATAAAGCACTGCCTTCACTTTGTATAGCCCTTTCGATTCTGACTCTAAATAGTTAATTGTGCTCAAGTGCTTTATCCCTTTTTACCTTTGACCCTGCTTTAAAAGTATCCATTCTCTGAACAGTCACACTTCCTCTCAGAGGAATCTAACACCTCACTGCCAGCCTCTCTACACAGACAAACACTAACTGGCAGAGGCCAGCTGTGAGCCTGACTATTTCTACTGCTGCTGATGAAAAGAAAATCACACATTAATCAGCACCGATTGCGTGGGGAAAGAAAGTCTTTAACACCACATGCAAGTACAAAAAGAAAAGAGTCAGGACAGGGAATGGAACAATCCTGAGTCATTAACACAGCAACACACTATTGTCACATAAGCAAACATTTCAGAGTGCCTGGGGACTGCTAGATTCACAAAACCGCACGACACGTCAGCATCCACGTCAGCAGCAGTTCCGGACATCAAAGAAAGGAAAACCAAAATCTAAACAGCAAGCTGTCATACTTGTATATCATTGTGATCCAAGAAGGTAATTGGCCCAAAGCATAGAAATGGGGCAGCCAAGTGTTAAAACGTTCATCTATTACAATTCAGATGTCCTCATTCATAAGTTATTCATTCATAAATAATCACTAAAACACAATAATGTAAACAAGTCGTAAGATAAATAGACATTCCTGTAGTGTGTGCACAAAGAAACACTAATTGTGGTTCAAAGTTGTGATAAATACGCACATACTCATGCACAGGTTTCAGTGGCAGGTGTGTGTTGTGTTTGTTTAGATCTCGCACACTCACCGGCAGTCCTGGTTCTCCCTTTAGTCCAGGTGGTCCAGCCAGCAGTGAGAACTGGGTCGGTTCCAGGTCAAATGTTTGGAAGCCATCTGTTGCAGCTGGAGTGACTGGAATAAGCGAGGTGGGTTTGACATCCTGCACACTGGTCATTTTTGGCTCAGGTTTCTTTGGAGCTACTGTGGTCAACTGCGTTTTCTGGGGAAGGTAGGCGTTTGAAGGAGACCCCTGCGTGAAAGCAGCTGTGGTGTGGAGGCTTGGCTTCGTCCCAGGTGGTCGGGTGGAAGCAGGTAAATCCATTCTTTCGCCAAAAGATTGCTGAGAAGTAGTATCTCCTTGGTTTGTGTTCTCTCCTGCACTGCCATGTGAAGTTGGTTTGGAGTTTGGTGGCGTCACGCTGATCCTAAGAGATGTAGTAGCAGTTTGAGTCGGAAAATTAAACGAGCTTTCCAACCCTGGATGAACCGATGGAGAAACAGACACAGCACCAGGTTTTGGAGTGCTCACAGTCTGATACACAGATGTTCTGTTCAGCATCAGCGAGCTGTCAGTTGGAACAAGAATCGTAGTCCTGGTGTTTTCCTCAGTCAAGGCCAAAGTAGGTCTCTGGGCCTTTTTGGATATCTCCGTCAATGACAGTGGAGTTACATGAGTGACAGTGATGTTTGGATCTACGGGATATAGAGGTAGCAGGGCGGGAAACACGGGCCGATACGTGTCGGCTTCTCTGCACTGTTTCTTAATGTAATCACAATAGTTATGAGCTGCCTTAGCAGAGGGATAAATGTCAAACTGACAGATGGCACCTTCAAACGGCACCGAGTTATGGTTCATTTTGCCCAGCAGGAAGGAGCCCTCTGCATCCAGAGCCTCCTCTTTCTTCAAATGCAAATCTGCATGTACACTCGTCTTTCCACAAGAAGTGTGTAAAAACACCCGGTGGCCTTGGATATCCAAAGCCAGACTGTGCCACTGGCCATCGTGGACATCATAGTCGAAACTCACAGAGCTCCTCTGCCCCACATGTACCAGGACCTTCCCCGGTACAAACTGCACTCCGAGCTGCACTTTCCTTTTCTTAGACAGCACTGAGAAAAGAAAAGCGCTGTTGATGCGGTGAACAGACAGGCTGAGTATCAGGGAGAGATTAGTGGAGCTGTACGCAGCAGGGATAACGGTGCGCAGAGGCACCTGGATACGTGCCCTCGGGGTGAGGATAACTCCAGACTTGAAGGGGATGATGCCATTAGGGACGGATCGAGCGCCTGAAGATGATGATCCGCCTGATCTTCTCCCAGAAAGCCCGAGCTGCTGCAGGACATCCACATCTTCGGAGAAACAGAAGAGATAGAGGTCACTGACACTTGGTTTTGGAGACTTAAAGCATCTTAAGATTCTGAACAAGAACTAACTTTGTTTACAATATCATGATTCCTGAGTTTATATAACAGAACATAGGTTTGTCTTTTGCATGCTAGCACTTTGGTAAAGGCACCCACCACAAAGGGCTTTACAGAAGTGCATAAAAGAAAAACAATTACACATAAATGTCAAAACTCAAAGTAAAAAGGAAAAAGCCAATTACATAACCCATTTCACTTTATGTGTGCCCTTAATAAGCTATTTAAAAGAAGATTAATTCGCGTAAGATACCTATTAACAACCTCCCACTCAAGTGCACTGATCTGCATCAAAGTATAAACTGAAAGAGCCAAAGTGCATTAATATAACTGATAATTATGTTGCGATGCCAAGCTGGGAGTTCACAAGTTTAAAGTTAGACTGATGGGAATCCTGCGGCAAAAGTAATTCAAAACGACTGCACAGACTTTCCAAGAGGGCCACACATCAACATCCAGTTTTGAGGATTGCCGCAAATTATGTAATCGTTACATCAGTCTTAATTAGAACAATGTCGGGAAAAGGAGGCTGCACGTGTCCCTGGAGTAGACAGTGTTGGGGTTTTCAGAGGTGTATTAATACAGAGACAGAAAAGCTATCTCACTATTTCTGCTAATGTCTGTTGATTAAAGATGATCGCTCTGACAGGGGTCCAAGATCATGAAAACATACTGCAGTGTTTTCTGCAGGTTTTAATTGCTACTTGCATCTCATGGGAGGAAGATGCGGGTAATTTTCACACATTACAGTCTTGTGTGGACTGTATATTTCTCCTAATTGGATCCACAGCAGGGTTTAATTAAATCCACATTTCACTGTGGTGAGAAAGAGCCTTTATTATAAGAGTATTCTGTACAATAAGTGCTCAGTTTTGAGCAAGAGTGAGTCCCAGCCTTTTCAACTTCAAGCTTCTCACTCTCAGTTGGTGACCATCCATTACAGTACTAACAGAGAAAGGATAACATTAAAGAACATATGATATTCCTCTCTACGTTGTGATACTGAATTGATGCAATTTAATATATCAGAAGAAGTAAAGCTAAAGAGTGAGAAACTAGAATTAGCTTCTCTGCCAACCAGTCAATTCCCAGTTTACATCCACGTCTGTCCAGACTCCTTTGTAGCCATGACAGTTGACAGTGCTTCACATATAGAGTTTTCTGCAAAGGAGCTACAAATTGCAAAACAAGGATGCTTCACATGCATCAGCACACAAGATCTACACAGTCAGCACAGTTTCAAGATGGACACCCAAGATTAGTGTCACCTATTCAGTATCAGACCACATGTCTTCCCCTTGTGTTCCTGAGTTATGGCGTTAAATCATGACCAGGAAAGTGTTTTTGCAGAACATTATGATGTCACAGTAACGTTAACCTTTGACCTTTTGATATAAAATGGAATCAATTCATCATTTTATTCTACAGAGTGCTGCAGGGATAACTTTTAATAGGCCAACCCCTCGTCAAAGAGTCACTGGGATTGTAATCTCTCAAGACAGATTCTGCAGATTGTAGAATCTGTCGGCAGCCCTGTGTGAAAGACGACTACAGAGGGGGGGAGGGCGGGGCTTTGAGTTTGAACGATGCTGCACTTTAGCCAATCACAATGGAGGGGGCATGGCCGAGACGTGCAGGTGTCCCCAGGAAATGTATACCTACAGAAACAGCAAGCTCCACGTCCATAGCGACCGCTCCACCCAAAACGCCGTCTCATCAGCGTGAAAAAAAATATTTTTTCCAGCAGATGTCTTAGTTACAACATGATTGAGCAAACTGGAGTAGTTTCATGTCGTATCCGACAACGGGAGGCTTTTAACAGATGACGTCCTGATGTTAGCTTTGCTAACTGTCCCTGTCAGCTGCAGCTACTGATGCTTTCTAGACATCGTGATTTCCCATAACTGAATAAATACCACACATAGCAACACAAAACTGATTTGATAACTCACTCATGTTGTAACTAAGATATCCGCTGGAAAAAATATTTTATTCACGGACCGTTTATTGAGTTATTACCTTATTTTTATACAGTCTATGTTTATTACAGACACCGCTAACGGCTAAGGTTAACAGCTAATGGTTAGCCCAGCTAATCTACGATAACCCTGTTATTAATTACAAAACGTGCACACAGAAATAGTAACGTTTGTTTAATCTTTGTGTTTATAGACTTAACAAACATCAGATTACTCTACACGGTGATACAGTGACGTGAAAAATGTGATATATAGCTAAACTCTGCTGGTTTTCTACCCGAAGTATTTGTAAACAACACGGCGATTCCCTGCGATTCGCCGGAAGTGAAGGGCGTGAGCGATCGCCGAGGCCCCTGCATTTCCGTTAGTCGAAAAACTCCGGGCTGTGCCTCCAGAGGTAAAGGAAGAAAAAAAAAATGTTTTTCTTTTTTTTTTTTACCGATGGATTTCTAGATTGCTGGGATTGTGGTTTATTGCTTTGTGACTTATGATCGATTATGATACTTACACCTTTTGTTCAGCAAGATAATCTTCACAACTGAACACCGCTTTTATGATTTTTGAAGCATAAATGCAATCACCAGAAGTGAAAAGCTAACATTAGGCTACAAACAAACTACTGTACAGTCACATGACTTCAGTGTCGCCACCACAATGAGACTATTCAGCTGTGTTTGGAGTTTTGACGCTCTGTAGTCTCATCAAGCCACTTGTTAGCGAGTCAGGTACGTACTGACATATTTTATGTTGTAGAACAAAACTTGACAGTCCTTTATTTCAGGCTTCACCAAAAACCTATTTAAAAACTCACTGACTTTCAGACGAGGGAACTGGGAATGCAAAAATTCTCTCATTTCCGGGTTTTAAGACTCATAGCTTCACCAGTCTATTAGACATATGTGTGAAATCTTGTCATAATTATAGTATTAATTCTTGAGTTATGGTCAAAAACATGTTTTGTGAGGTCTGAAACTAATCAGTTCATCCTTGAGTCCATGTGGATGTTTGTGCCAAAGTTGAGGAAATTTCCTTAAGGCGTTTTAAGATATCCTGTTCTCGAAAATGGGACGGATGGATGGACAGCCTGAAAACCTAATGCTACAGCCATGGCTGTCACCAGCACAGATGCATAACAAACAGAATCATGTTTTCAGCCTCTCAATTATCTCTCAACTCCAACAAACTATGTCCTTTATGACCCTAAACCCAACACAGTGGTCCCCAACCCCCAAACGGAGAACCACTGGAACATCAACACCAAGGTTACGCTAAATCTAGGATATTACTTTTACAAGCAAAACATTGAGCACTCTTAGAAAGTAAAATCTGTTTTGGTTCGAACATCAAAACAGGCTGGAAGCGTTCCCATTATCATACTATTGTCTATTGTTAGGCACCGGTGCAAGTCATCAGTAATGTCAAACAAAAAGCTTTTTGTTTAGTTTAGTAAGGTTTGAATATAAAGGAGAATTGATCATCCCCAGCCAATCAGCATATCCCGAGTTCAGCACATTAATCCTCTCAAAACGTGCAGCATGGAAACTAAAAGCTTATATATAGATCTCAAATATCCGTCCTCTTCCGGACTAATACAAAACAAATGTGGGCAAGACTGAAATAAACTGCTAAATGATGAATTAGGGCTCAGCCGAGCAGAACAAGTATAGACACTAGACATGTTTGGGAGGGAAACCCTGCTCAATGTGTGCAGGCAGTGGGAGGTCAGCTCGATTGAAAAACCCACACATGGAAGAGAAACATCAAACAGAAACTGAAAAAAGACCAGAGATTTTCTGCAGCTGAATTTCCCATATAGCACTCATTTGAATTGTTAATATGGTACGATGGAAGCAAAATTGTTCTTTCATTGTGTGATTTGTGATCTACTTTAGGGCTTACCCTGCGTATCTAAATCTTAGAGGGTAGACGGGCCGCCTAAGGCTTTTTGTGACCTCCTGATGAGCTGGGGGTAAAAAAAACTGAGAACTGAGTAGAACACATCCTGGAGACAAAGCGCTGTGTATCAGACAACACAACTCTTCTCAGAGAGCAGGCACATTCACAAACTAATGTATTTCCACCACGAGCAACATTCTTGCAGCTTTAAAGGGACTGTTCACCCAAAATCAAAAATATTTTCTCTCTTACCTGCAGTGCTATTTTTCGTCTAGATTGTTTTGGCATGAGTTGCCAAGTGTAGAGATATTGGCCGCAGAGATGTCTGCCTTCTCTTGAATATAGTAGAAACTAGATGGCACTCAGCTTGTGGTGCTCAAAATGCCAGAAAAATACATTTGAAAAACTCAACAGCAATGTCTCTTTGCAGCAATCATGACCTGGTTCCTCAAGATAATCCACAGACCTTGTTGTGAGCAGTTTCATGTAGGACTATTTTCTTTCTACCAAAATACACCAGCTTACCAAATCACCGCGCAGAAGGAAGTGTGCATCTACTCATGAACAAGAGGCTCGGGCTCGTGACAGCGTGAGATGTGAACACGAATGGCATCCTCCTCAGTTCAGCTGTAATGGTAGCTCAGTGATGCCGGGTGAGCTAGTCGAAGATACTTCTCTCTTCTCTCACTGTGATATGGTTGACGGGTGTAGCTCAATCAAAATAAAGTAGTTCCTACATGAAACTGCTCACAACAAGGTCTGTGGATTATCTTGAGTAACCAGGTCATGATTTCTGGAAAGAGACATCCACTACATTCAAGAGATGGCAGACATCTCTACAGCCGATATCGCAACACTCAGCAATGTACACCAAAACAATCTAGACTGATAAACAGCACTACAGGTACGAGAACAAATATGTATTTTTATTTTGGGGTGAACTGTCCCTTTAACTTTCACACTAAATTTGTTAATTTAGAAAAAGCAATGCAACATAACTGATTCTTAGCATTTAATACAACTAAGATAAATCCCAACACCAGGTCTTCACAGAGCTCTGCATCCAGAGATGTTTTTGGGTCACACTGTGATTCTCAAGAAACAGGGAGTGAATATCTGGCCTCTGACTCACATGCACAATAATGTACCCAGTGGCCAGAGGATATTACCAAAATTCTTAAACTCAGTCAAAAGTTGTCTCAGTTGTACTTTTGCCATGCCACACTGAAACAGATTTTTTTCTTCAAAAGGCACTGAGAGAGCAATGAGACATCACAATTCCTAACATCAGTGGGTGCATTCCCACGGTCTATATGTCTCTGTCTTACTCCACATGAACTATTTATTAACATGATTATTATTCAGATGGTTTGCTTTCTGCCTACATGGCATCAAGGTAGAGGTGGAGGTGGAGGAGGGGTGTCACCACAGGGTTGCTGGTTTGATTCCCAGCACTGAGCCATCATCTGGGAGAAGGCTAGTATTACATCTACGGTGACACACTGAATCTTAAAATCTGTTCCAGTGATGCTGCACAGTGGCTGACTTTGATGACCCTGCTAAAAGAAACAGTGTAGGCAGCTTACAAATGTGTCGCTATGGCAACTGTGCTAAAAGACGCAATTTAAAGGTCTGTGCAGCGTGCACACTGCCAGTTAAAGGGACAGCTCACAACAAAATAAAAAAATACATATTTTTCCTCTTACCTGTCGTTCTTTTTATCAGTCTTGATTATTTTAGGGTGAGCTGCCAAGAGCTGGAGGTATCTTATGTGGGGATGTCTGCCTTCTCTCAAATATAATGGAACTATATTGCAAAGTTCAAAGCACCAAAAAAATATATTTGAAAAACTTCACATCAATGTCTCTTTCCAGAAATCATGATCATGATGATTACTTGCTATGAGTGGTTTGTAGAAATGACTTTCTTCCTACTGAAAAAAATCCCACCAGATGTATCACCTCACAGAGGAAAGTGTACATCCTCTGCTATCTCACCTAGCACCAGTGAGCTAGCTAACATTACAGCTCCACCAAGGAGGAAGCCTTTACTATTTACATCTTGCATTGTCACGAGTGCAAGCCTTACCATCTATGAGTAGATGCACTCTTCCTTCTGCACGATGATAAGGCCAAAACACACTAGCAGCAAACGCCACACGTCAAAAAATTTATACCCCTGGTATTTTCAATGTACAACCCCACACATGCATCAGCGCTCCTGAACGCGCCACCCCTTCACCCGACTGTCCTATTCCCAGCCTCGCTGCCCAACGAATTAAACGCATTTTTCCCCCACTCACTCTCCGCCTGTGCTTACCGGCTCCCGTAGCAGCTCTTTTTCTCAGCTCCCATGGCAGCTCAACTCTTCTCCTCACCATTGATGCATAAAGAGAACTCTGTAGCTGTTGCTGTCTCGTGTGTGACAAAGAATGGATGAGGAGAGACTCGTTGTTGAGTATGACAAATATCTTGAGCTTAATGACCCACAATCCTGTCATTATAAAGACAATGGCCAAAAAGAAATTGTCTGGTGGGTCATTAATGAGCTGCAACGTCCAGTGTGTGGAGCAGTACTTGTCGCATGTCAAGGCAGCTCCGGCCGGTGTGTTTTCAGCTATATAGTTGGTGGGTGTAGTTTGGTAGCAAGAAAATAGTTCCTGTATGAAACTACTCACAAGAAGGTCTGTGGATTATCTTGAGTAACTGGGTCATGATTTCTGGAAAGAGATACTGCTTTGAGCACCACAAGCCGAGTGTCATCTAGTTCCATTATACCGGAGAGAAGGCGGACATCTCTATGGCCAATATCTAGAACACTCTGCGACCTGCACCAAACAATCTAGATTAATAAATAGCACTACAGCTAGATTTTTGGGTAAACTGTCCCTTTAAGTTTCGTTTGGGTGTGTGCAGGTCAAAATGTACAAACAGCGGCCCATGTGGTAGAAATGACTCCAAAGGAAAGGGTGCAGTTCACCAATGCTAGATTAGGCGTTTAATACAATGGACTATTGCCAGCACCTAACAAAAAGAATACAATAGCTTGTGATTGCAGTCATTTCCCATATGCATGACTTATGAAACCAGAAGGCAACATAGAGTATTTATCCTACAAATGAGACTGAACATTGTGCAGGTTTTTATATTTTGCTGGTGCAGCTCTGCATTATTAAGGGACAAATTTCATTAGTCTCTCAGAGTTTGCAATTGAACACATCCTTACATATAAAGCTGTACATGTCTCTAGGCACTCAGCAGTCATCATTGGAGGGAAATATCAACTGATGAAGGCAGAATTACAGAGAAATTGCCAGAAACAGTTATCATTGAGCACAGTGGCTCACATTATCAGAGGCATCTAGCAACTGGAAAGAGCTCTGATTGAATGAAATCTGGCAGATTTTGATTGACAGCAAAATCAGACAAACATTCTCACAGGGGTCTTTAAATTGTGTAACAGGAAGCTGGCTGCATCAGACATCAAGACACAGCTCAATGTGTGTCGACAGGAGAAAGGGTGCACTTCAACTTGGCAGATAAGACTTTGGGAATCAAGGGAGACAGGTCATGTAATACCTTGGAAACCTTTACTGAGGCATCAGAGAGGTTTGTCGTGGAAATTGAGACTGACTTTCATTGAGCCATTTCCAATTAAATCTATCAAAATATACGCCCAAAACAACTCAGAGTTGTGTGATATGTACGAGGAATGCCCTACTTTAAGCTACTTTTTCATGTTTCCACTGAGAGTATGGGGTGAGGCGAGAGCAGAGTGCAATGTACCTCACGCTCAATTTGCATGGGAGAGAGAGGCGTCTGCAGTTTCAAACTAATCAAGTTCAAGTGCTCAGCACACAACATCCAGGGGCAGAACAGAGCAGCCGATCTCCAACAAAGACTTAAAATCTTTTCCAGGGCAGAGTAAACATATTGAATCAGAGTTTTTGGCCTTGATAGATCAAACAGTGATGCTGAAAGAGGAGCAGCTGAGCAGGCTGCACATGGAAAATGTAGATGCTGATCACATCAGTCATAGATAATCCCTGGATAAACATGGGCCCAACAAGGGGCCGGTGTCTGGGTAATGTAATTACTGACTGTGGTTATTTTCACTTTCTTTATTCAATTTGCGTTCTGTCATGATTCAACTTTGAATAATGATGAAATGACCTAGTTTATCTGAACAGTCTCACCGAGGTGCAGTGCGCAGGGCATACCTGAAAGTGTCACCAACCACAATGTCTCTGAGGCACAATTATAACACTACCTGTGTTTGCGTGAAAAGATAATTACTACCTTCGCCCACCCTTGTCCTAAAGTGGCTTACCTTGTGCTTGTGCTAGCCTCAGAGAGCAGGTGCAACAGAGTATCGTCCAAAGAATGAGAACTCTCCTAAAGAGAAAGACGCAAAAGGTTAGAAAAATAATGTCAGACATTCAAGACACAGATAATCTGGGAGATTGTCCTTTACAAGTCATTAATATTTCAAGTATGATCTGATTGTTTAGTCTCTAAAATTCCAAAAGCAATGACCAATTCCCATCAAAGATAACCAGAGCCGTAAAATCTTGTCATTTATTCTATTACTTTGTCTGATCACAAGCTAAAAACATGTTTATGCTTTCATTTGTTTATTCATTCATTAATTCATTCATTTCCATAACCACTTATCCTATTAGGGGTCACCCAGCTGACTTTAGGTGAGAGGCAGGGTACACCCTGGACAGGTCAAAAGACTATCACAGGGCTGACACATAGAGACAGACAACCATTCACACTCACATTCACACCTGCTGACAATTTAGAGTCACCAATTAACGTGCATGTCTTTGGACTGTGGGAGGAAGCTGGAGTACCCTCAGAAAACCCACGCTGACACGGGGAGAACACTCACACTCCACACAATAGGGCTCCCCCACCCTGAGGTCCAAACCCCCCACCCCGGGGTTCAGTCAAGTCTTAATAATGATTAGGGATGGGAATCAGTTCCAAGTTGAGAGCCAGTTCCAAATCTTCCATCCATATATCAATTTCTTTAAGCAATGGCAGCGTGTTTTTTGGACAGTTGCACATTGCAAAACAATGACGTCAAACTCATGTGTCTACATTCCTGGAAACCTGCAACAAAAAGGAGTCGTGGCAGAGAGAAAGACAGGTCCAAAGAAAGAAAGAAAGAGGACACCAGTGCTGCTGTAATGTCCATAAAATGTAAAAACACCAGCAAAATGCTGAAACATCCTCCCACACAACATGGACTTAAATTCCACGAATACCATGTACTTCATAATCTACGCACGAGAGCCACTGCTACTCGACCGAGCAGCACGTCCATTACCGAGGGCAAAATGTCCTGTGTTATAATAACATTAATGCCACTCAGGCAGGCTTGGCAGATTTTTTTATTTGACAAGGAAAAAGTAAATGAAAACCAGTGCTGTACAAATATTTATTCTCATATCACTTCATCCATTTCTAATGATGACAGACAGATTGTTGCTGCAGCTAGCTATCAGGCTACAGTGAGCTCAACTCATCAATCAGCTCGCCCCTTCAGCTGCACAGGGAGGGAGAAAGGGTTGTGTCACTGTTGCATTGACGCCGAAAACCTGTTTGGGTCTACTTTTATTCCACACAGGAACTGATCGGGAATTCATAAAGAATTGGACTGATAATTGGTATCAAGAAATCTTATCAATTCCCATTTCTAAGGATATGAAACTAAGAAAAGCAAGATCATCTGTCGCAACCAGAAGCTGCATAACACATCTAAGTTATAGCCCAACATGTAAAGATGAATCTGACACACTAAAACTCTTGACACTCATTTGCTATAAACTCCTGAACTCCCAGTTCCTGCAGCGATCACATCGACTGCAGCAGCATCTCTGCTTTGCTCAAAGAGTCTAACATCTATTTCAAGACAACAAGCTTTGTCTTATCTCGCTGCCTGACCAGATAAGCTACTGCTCAGCAGAGCTAGGTGAGTGCTCCTGCAGGACCACTGCTGACAAACCTAAAAAGAAACACACCTTAAAACCTACAATCCTGACTGAAAGATAGAGACTAATGTAACACATCAATGTCACCGTTTATCTCCAACACATTACTTTGCTATAACCTTTTTGAAGGCAGGGTTTGAGAGGGTTTCATGGAGCTAAAACAGGTGCACAATTTGATCGGCTCATAAAATACCACGTAGTGCTCAAACTACGATTAGATCATCTCTGTTTTCACATGATTACTGTGGCATTTATCATCTCGTCAGCAGATAAACGGCTACTTTTACACCACTGATTTTTCTTGAGATGTTTAGGACTCAAGACAGGTGATAAAGGAGGTGTCGATGGCTCACACGTAGAGATGAAATGTCTCTAAAGGTGTTAAATTATCTCTGATGAGTGTGAAGTCATTATCACCAGGATAATGTTGCCTTTACTCTCTCGAAGTTAATGATGTGGTCGTGTGCAGTGTGTGAAACTGGACCTCGAGGAAGCGATGGCTGAAGTCAACCAGGCTCTGTGACAAGTGCCATAATGAACGCAGTTACAGGAAGTCTATTACATTTGCGGGTTTCCTGAGAGCCACAGGAAGCCACTGGTCAACCGCTGGCACACTGAGTGCTGGGTTGAAGCTTTTAAAAGTTTCCCTCCTTCCTCTCTTTATGTCCCATTCACTGCTCTCACACTGGCATTAGCAGAAACACATAAAATGAGGAGGAGGAGGGGGGGTGCTGTGCTGTACAGTGCAAGTTTGTGACCAAGTTCTTCATATGTCCAGCAGTGGTTATATGATGCAACATTTTGACTTTTATTTCCCCTCCCATTGGGACAGCCGGGCCAACCAGCTGAGTGAGATGCACAGCTGGGAGGAGAGAAAAGGGGAGGAGAGGACTGTCTCCTCCTCTCATACATCTCCCCTCAAATCAGTCCCAGATCATTTGGCAGCTTGGTCTGGTACAAGCTGCAAAGACACTACTTCAAGAGCAGTACAGCAGGCTACACTGGCTTCCACTGAAGTGTGTGAAGAGATGAGAAAAATTGTTTCCATAGGTTGTCCTGCAACCCATTAAAGTATAACACCTGTCCCAGCTTATGGCTGCTTAATATTCCAGACATGGATATTACATTTGTGTTATTTCACTGAATATATTTACAAAAAATCAGCATAAGACTACTTGTTTATAATATTACAACTTACTTACAACTTGACACGACTTGCACTGTCAAACAGACACTAATTTAGATGCAGGTGATGTTCACAAGCACATGAAAGACTCCATATTGAACTTGATAACCCTTACAAACACACGGAAAAATGGTGTTTAGTTTGAAATTCAAAATGAATCGACTCACCCCCCGACTCCAGTGCTTTTGAGTTTGGAGTACGGGGCATTGTCCGGCTCCATTGCGGTTACTTCATTCTTTCTTGGGAGTTTTTACTACAGTCCGGACGAGGCAGATAAAGTTTTTCCATTCCAGGTGTTCCTTGAGGGTCGCGCGTGGAGTGAACGTGCCAAAAAAGCAACCCCAAAACACAAACGACTCAAACACTGCAGGGTTACCCAACAGTGACAAGGATGCTGTCTGTCATTGTCTTCTTGTCCCAGTAGCCTCCTGCTTCTTGAGGATGTCACTAGATTTTTAAAAAAAGACGCTCCGCAGAGCTCCACCTGTGCGCTTCTTCTTGTATTTGTTCCTTCTTCCACTCGCGCGTTTTGTAAAGTACAATAAAGCGTCAAGTCAAGTCTGGTGCAGCTTTCCACGGGGAACCGATGCAGGACAAGATGACGACCGCCGTTGTATGTGTGTTGTGCATGTGTGTGTGTTCGCTTCCCAAAATGAAAGTTTATTGCGGACTGAGGAAAAATCTTGAGAACCGGGAAAGGGGGAACACCTCCCTCTGTCGCCCTCAGCTGACATCGAGGGAAAACAGATTTGAAGCAGAGACGGTGCAGCTTCAGCTCCTTCAGCTGAAGGTGTGTCTTTTGGGGGGAAGCAGGGACACAACACAATCAGATTGTTGCATTTGGAGTCTTTTCAGGGCTGCAGCGAGAATTTTTAAAATCTGGGGGCCATGAGTCTGAGCCCCCTCAGTCCACCCCACACCCACCTGCAGGAAACTTTCACCACACCAAAAACTCCTTTTAAACCTTGCTGTTATTTTTGATTTTTTGATTTTTCACATTTTATTAATTCAAGGTTCGATATACACTCACCAGCCACTTTATTAGGTACACCTCTTCAATTGCTTGTCAATGCAAAAAGCAAGTCAGCCAATCATGTGGCAGCAGCTCAATGCATTTAGGCATGTAGACATGGTGAAGACAACCTGCTGAAGCTCAAACTGAACATTAGAATAAGGAAGAAAGGTGATTTAAGTGACTTTGAATGTGGCATGGTTGTTGGTGCCAGACTGGCTGGTCTGTCAGAAACTGCTGATTTACTGGGATTTTCACACACAACCGTCTCTTCGGTTTACAGAGGATGGTCCGAGGGTGATCGCTACAATAAGGTGGGGAAAAAGGTGGCTATATCAATATCCATATCAGTTATCGGCCATATAAGTTGTTGTCTATCAGCATATTGCATATTGGCAAAAAAATATCTATATAGTGCATACCTATGAATAATCTGATTGGAAGACTGGGTGGCACAGTGGTGCAGTGATTAGCATTGTCACCTCACAGTAAGAGGGTGGAGGGTTCGAATCTTCATGGTCGCCTGCGGGCGCTCTGGTCGCTCTGACATCACTCACACTGCCAGCTCCAGCAGGCGCTTGCACCAGCCAAAGGGGCAGGGCTGGGCGCTGCAGATGTGTCCATCTAGGCTGACCGGCTGTGCATTTTACAAGGATGAACAAATCATATATGTCTTCACGATGTATTATTCATGACTTTCATTACACAATTAAAATAACTCTAATAAACACAGTCACATAGCCTTTATGAGTCTTTTATTATTATGATTTACCCTCCTGTTGGCATGTAGGACCATTGAGAATTGTCATTGGTGGTAAATAATAATACATTTGGAGGGCAAAAAGCGTAGCCTATATATAGCATGCACATCTTCGGTTTCCTCTTTCACCATGGATCGCACTTTCGGAAGCCTCCTTTGTATTGCATCAGCGTATTGGCTGAGGAAACGCAGGGCCTGAAGCCGTCGGTCCGTCTGGGTCCACAGAGTCCTGCAAACCCGACCTGCAATTGGCTGCTGCTTCAGTGGCGGCGCTGCTCATTTGCATAAAGTTCAGCTTCTCTCAACTTCTACTTGACGCTCTGGTCGCTGGCATCATGCCACTCACTGCAGCCAATGCCCCTGACGCCCTTCGTCACCAGCGTGCATTGAAAATGAATGGCTGCTTATGATGCTCATGAAGCTTTTGGTGGGAATCCACAGTAAATTGGTCGTAGGTGTGAATGTGAGTGTGAATGGTTGTCTGTCTCTGTGTGTCAGACCTGTGATAGTCTGGTGACCTGTCCAGGGTGTACCCTGCCTCTCGCCCAATGTCAGCTGGGATAGGCTCCAGCCCTTCTGCGATTCCCAGCAGGATAAAAGGTTATGGAAATGAATGAATATTTGTTTTGATTATATCAGCATTTTAAAAAACTTTACTGAAGTGCATAATTGTTTACAGATGTTCTCCTTAATAATGAAAATACTAAGAAGAAAGTAAGTTAGTTGAGCTAAACAGTTCAGTCATGACCTTGGAAACAGCAGCTGGGAATCAATTTCAGGTCAACTTGCACTCACAAGTTCTGGTGATTTCGATTCCACACGTCTTCATCTAAGGAACAGGGTTTGCTCAGTCGTCATTGCAAGGTCAGCAAACAAACTGTCAAACTCAGTTCTAAAGATGGCATTAACAAGAAATCCTAGAGATGATCCAAATTTTTTAAAGTTTGAATACTTAAAGTACAATGAACTGTGATAAACACTGTGTGATGTGGTCAAAACGCTCAACAGCAAGCGAGTTAGTGGACCTTGAGTTGTCAAATTAATCAGGACTCTCTTGTGGACAAAGTGCGCAATAGCAACTCTGTTGTGAAAATATCACAGGGGCGTCAGAGGCTTAGTGGTACAAGGCAGCGGCCCGGGTTCAACTCCAGCCTGTGGCCCTTTGCTGCATGTCACTCCCTCTCTCTCTCCCCCTTTCATGCTTGTCTGTCCTATCAAATAAAGGCTAAAAATGCCCCCAAAAATATCTTTAAAAAAATATCACAAACATGTATTTGAAATTTATACACGCAATATCTGCTGATGTGTGGTGATGTATAATTGTAACTTATGTGATAAGTTAATATCAGCTGGTTGATTTGTTGGTCACAAAAATTGTAACTGAAATTGTTAGAAACCAAAAAAAACCTTGATATCCAGAGCATTTTTTTCTTTGTAGAATGAGTATACTTGAAGCCCAGTCACATAAAAGAACCTTCATGTAATCATCTCTGCCAATAAACTGTCGCTTTCTGAAATAAATGTTATGTCTTGTAAGAGGGGAGGTATAGTTTTTACAGCATAATCTGTTTGACAGATGAAAATTTACAGAGTAAACACCCCTCCTACTGTTTGTACTAAGTCCCACCAAACTATGGTACAATATTTTGGACGTGTTTCAACTACAACAAATGACCAATTCATTTAATCAAGTGAAAAGTTAAACCAGCTTTTTGTGACAGCCTTCCTTCACCCCCTGCTCCACCAACATCCACTTCCGTTCTCACCAGAGAAGCAGAGATCTGGGTTGCAGGGCTGCACTGGCTCCAGTGTGTGTGTGTGTGTGTGCGCTGTCGTGTGCTGTGAAATTCCTCTGCTAAAGAAAGTCCTCATTGACCCGCCTTCAGCAAACACGCTATGACAGTGTCCAGGGGAGACCCAACAGAGCACCGATTCAGCCGCCTGCAACTGGATCCCTCCTCCTCACACAGAGCCCCCTCTCAGCTCGTCCTCTCAGGGCCAGGAAGGAAGGAGCTCACCACCTTGAAAGAGCACTTCCCATATACCTGTCTGAGCTACGTCGGATGTGAGCTTTTGTTACCAGGAGTTTTAGTTCACAGACAAGAAGGGCAATGTCCTCACAGTCTGTGGAGGAGCACAGGGGAAAATCTACAATCTGGGGTGTAAAGTTTCATGGTGTTTGAAATGATTATTACAGCAGCTTATGGAAGCGGTTCTCAAACTGTGGCCCAGGGACTGCCAAGTGTTCTTGAAGGCATACCAGGGGAGCTGAAGCAAGAAGAGGAATAGTTTAAAGGTATTGCTAGACATACTGTATGCTTCTATTGCAAAGACAGTGATATTTCTCTCATAAATATGAAGCTACAGCTAGCAGCCGGTTAGCTTAGCTTAGCATAAACACTAAAAACGGGAAAACAGCTAGCCTAGCTCCATCAAAAGGAAGCAAAAAATGCCAACCAGCACCTAAAGCTCACAAATTAACACATTCATTAAATCTATACGAAAGCCAAAGTGTATGAACAACATACTGGGCTTTAAAGCTGTGGTTGATAACCTTTGTGAAAGTAAAATTGTGTCATATTTGCTGAAATTCTGCAACAAATATATGAGATAAACAAAACCATAGCCCTCCAATACTCCTATTGCCGCTACCCAGTCAACATTTGTATGTGGGTCCCATGTGGTTAGTAAATGAGCTGAAAAATGTGCCCCATATGGGATTGTGCACGAGTTTCATAATAGCTTGCCAACATGGGTGGGTTTACCCAAGTGAGCCCCAAATGGCTTATGCCACAGCTACCTGGGTACCAAGTGGGTATAGGCCCGAAATGGGCATCCGATCTTGGGCCCACTTGGGTAAAACCACCCAAATAGGCAATTGGCATGGGGCCATTATGGACCTCATGGATAGTCCCATATAGGGCCCATTTTCAGCTCATTTACTACCCACATGGACACAACATACAAATGTTGGCTTAGTAATGGTGTTTGCTAGTATGTAACCTGGCGTGTAGGAAACAACCAAAGCTAAGGAATCTCCAACCCAGCTATCAATCACGTCAATCACTGCTTGTCAAACTCGGCAGCGCTGCTCAAATATGAATCAAGATTCTGTTACTGCATTGCATATTTCTCACCTCAAATGTTTTTAGAAGCATATTTTAGTGTACTGTTTACCTGTAAAATGAAAAGTTTGTGATCTGGTTGCTGTGGATGGAAGTAGTCGACCAGAGTTCCGCCCACCGGCTGGGCCAACTTTCTCATTTTACAGCTAAACAGTACACCAAAATATGGTTGTGAAAAAAACTGAGGTGAGAAACAGGCAATGCAGTAACAGCATTTATATTTAATGAGTGCAGCCCAGTTCACAAGCAGTGATTGACATGACTGACAGCTCCATTGGAGACTTCTTGGCTTTAACTATTTGTATTCATTCAAATGCATAGGGCCATTAGAAGCTCAACAAGGCAAAAGCGTAGGCAGACCAGTATGATTTTTCACAGATGATCTGTCTCATTAGTGCTCTGTAAATAAAGCGACCATTTCAGTAAATAGGACAAAAGTTAAAATAAAAGTTACCAACTGCAGCTTCAAAAGGAGTTGGGAAGTCACTGCTCACAGCCAAGTAAAAGAAAGTTCAGCATGTATCTCCTCATAAAACAATGACTTTGTGTTTTTACACTGGTGCTGAGATGCTGTGGATTTTGTTACTCTTGGACAGAACCACACAAGCTGCTTCCAGTCTTTATCCTAAGCTAAGCAAACTAGCTGCTGGTTGTAATACACTCTTTGAGAGTTATTTTTATTTAACTCTCGGCTCTGAACCAACAGTGTATTAGTTCTGGCACTGAGCTGCGATCATATTCATTCTTACTGAAGAGAGGC